TGTGACAAGTAAACATATTTATTGAATAAAATTTATAATATACATTTTTTTGTAAGTATGAATAGAAGATAGATGTTATAAATATTTTAATGAATTAAAAACATGGGAAGCATCTAGAATTCATTGTCGTGCTCAATATGCTGATTTATTTACATGGCGTGATAATCATGATGAACAATTTATTCGACCTGTTATATTAAATTGGATATCTACACCTCTTTTTATACATATATGGTCTATGATATTGAAGCCAAAACCAAATCAACCATATCTTGCATGGGCTGGTGCTAAGATAACTTCATTAAAACGTAAGTTATTGAAAGTTTTTTTTTTGTGTTGTAATGATAAACGAAGATTAAGAGAAATTCATTTATAGCGCATACTATTCAATGGATGGATCCTGATGGACTGAAACTAGACTTGACTAGTACAGAATGGTGTGATCCAACATATCATGCAGGTTATTCATTACAAAAAGAACCAACATCAGGAACTAGACAAGGTATAACAATGAAACGTAACTTGTATTTGAGATAGAGCCGGTTGAGATCAAAAGAAACCTAGACGGTTTCTTCCCTATACATCGCCCATTCGGATTGATGGTGATCGTAGTTAGAGACAAAAAAATCTAGGTTTTTTTTGTGGCATTAATACTGTTTACCACGAATACATTCTCTTATCTCTGTTTTAAGGTCCGAATGGTACTGAACGTGAAGAATGTGTTACATACAATTTTGGTTCTAAAGGTACAAGTTTTCTCTGCTTATCAGATGATTACTGTAGTCAAAAATATCCATTTATTTGCGAAATGAATGCTGCTAGTATGAAATTAGCAACATCTACGCATCATGGTATGTAAAAAAAAAAAAGACAAATAAAAACACATTGCGAATAGATTTGAGAATCGTGATTAAAATTTGTGTATGGCTTCTTTCTGTGTAGGTACTAATAATGGTGGCATTTCATCTGGAACAGATGAAGGTACTTCATCTGGAACAGAAGGTGATACAATCGATTTTGAAGAACCACCGCCCCCTCCACCAGAAGACCCTGACTTTAGTCCACAACATCTTGGTTTAGAAGCAGCAGCTGTATGTTATAAACCGTAATTTTTTTTCCCATAAAGAAAATGTTTTATTTCTACTTTCAGCTTAAAGATGAACCAGGTTTTCTAACAAAGACAAATATAATTATAATTGCTATTGTGGGAGTAATTCTTATTGTTGGAGCCATCGCTGGATATATAGTTATAAAAAATAAAAAAGCAAGTACACGTAATCCAACTGGTGACAATGGAGGTGTATCTCAAGGTAGACCAAGTGTTGCTAGTTCAATTGGAAGCATGGTAGATGAATAGAAGAAAAATAAACAAAATTTATCATCATCACAAGAAATATCCAGACGATTTCATTACTATTATTCGTTTTTCTTGTTGGCTTTATAATTTTAAATAAAAGTTTCTTTTCCGTTCTCATTCATAGTTTAATTCACTGTGTACAGCACAATATTGAGAAAGAATTAAATATATGACTGTTCTAAATGAAGAAATGAAACTAATTTCGATCGCTCGTTTTTTTTCGAGAACATTAATATCACTAAAAATCTCGAACATTCATTTCATTTCTATAAAATGTTTACCGAGAAACAATAGATCAATTCAAGATGTTTTCAATTCTAATATGTAATTCATTCTATAGCAAGATGAGTGTGAAATTTTGCTACAAGATACATTCGATAAAAAACTGCATTGGTTATTAAAACTATTATCTCGATTGGAACTAACTGCTTAACATCGTGGAAAGGTATAGTGGAAGAGAACGACTAATAATATTCATCTTCTATAAAAAATCTATCCATATTTTTTTTTTGTTTACAATAAATAAATAAAAACTAGTTCAGAAATCTATATAAAACAAATGTCTACATCATTTTTTCTATAAACAAATTATCATTAAACGTTGAATGAAGATAATAACGTTGTGTTGCAGCACATAAATATAATAATTGACTAAAAACTAGTGGTAATGAATAATTATCATCAAGTGTTTCGAGTAAATCATCAAGATTTATCGTTTTAACTGAATCATGTTTATTCATATATGACATTATTAATGAACGAAGTTCAAGAAATATTTTATTATGTTCTTGTTCTTCATTTGAATGATAAGTAGCTGCATCAAGTATTTGTTCCATATCAGTTTGAAGACGAATATCAACATCTTCTTGTATATCTTCATTAAATTCATGAATAAATGATGGTGAAGCTGGTGATGATGATGAAATTAATGTATTTTCATTAAGTACATCAGATATAGGTATAGGAGGTGAACGAATCGTACGAGAAAATGGTTGATCGAGTTTTATTGAATATCGTTCTCGAATTGTTAAATGATGAATATTAATTGTTGGATAAATAAAAATAGATACAATCGATAATGGGCAATCTAACAAACAAAAAAAGATTTGACATAATTTTTACATATTGACGAAGAAGGGGACTGCCTCTAGTCAAGAATGAATCGTTGCTGATTACAGATTGTTTTATTAAGCCTATATCAACATTTTCTTGATTGAATATAGGAAATACTATACTCTAAAAATGTAGACTCATAGGTTAGTAATTATGAGCATAAATACACCAATAGAATGAGTAAAAATTGAAATACAGCTATCTTAAACATTTGTTTTTGTTTCACATAAATTTTTGTATTGAAATTTACTCAAATAAATAATGAAAAACTAAGATTTATTCTACTAACCTTTAATTAATTTATTGAAATGATTTCGATTTAATTTTTTAATAAAAAATTGTGTTTGTTCAATTTTAGTTTTATTTGATAATGGTTTCATTTTATGAAAACGAAAATGTTCTTGTTGTTCATCTGTAAGACCATGACGAAATATATTAAGATCAATATCATTTTTTAATTTTTTTCTTCGATTTTTATTTGTTTTTTTCTTTTCAATTATATTTTCATTATTCCATGATGATTCTTGATCATCATCATATGTAGATATAGGTAATGGAATATCATCATCATCATCATTCAATGTTGACTGATGCTTAACTGGTGATAATTTATTAAGTACATTAATTAATTGTTCAGGTTCTTGTTGTTGATCATTTTGATTGATTTCAATTGATTGATTATGAAAAAGAAGATCAAATATTATCGGTTGAGTATCATTTAACCAAAATTGTTTATTTCCTATTGGTACATTTTTTTGAAAAAGTTTCAAATCAAATATAGATGTTCGATCAAGAAAAAATTTTTTTGATAAATTTAAATTTATTTTAGTTAAATCATTACATATAAATGAACGATGATTTTGTTTAGATTTTTTCTTTTTTTCTTTAACAATTTTTTTTATTTCATTTTCTTCTTGTTTATCAATAATAATTGTTTCTAATGATTGATCTTCATCTGAAATACTTTCATCTTGTTTATTATCTGATGATGATGATTGAAATGTATTTATTAATTTATAAAGTGCATCAACACGACGAGAATAAATACATGTTGATGCTGTTATTAATTGTGCTATATTTAAAAATTTACGATTTTCACCACCTTCAAAACGATCAACATCATTACTAACATCAATTAAATTATCTAATATAGAAAATTCATCAAAAGCATTTGATGTTGTTATTGTACTTGGTCGTTGGATTAATGTTGCAATAGTTAATCGAGCATTAGATAAAAGTGCTGATGGTTCACTTTGACTACTTGATAACGATAACATTTTAGTTTTGAAAGGAAAAACAAAACACCAAACATAAACGATAGACACATGGATAAATATAGCTAGAGAACAATAGACAGAAAAGATAATACATGAAAACAATGAAACATTTTTGTTTGTTTGTTCGTTAATCGACGAATTTTGGAAGATATATTATATTCGTTAAGATCTGTCTTTGTGTACAGTTTTTCCGAATGTTTCTCATAGAAAATATGGCATTCATTTAAAAAAATATCATATAAATGTTCGAGTGTTATTTTTTATTGAACTAATATGAGATAAGAGATTTATTTTTAGCGCATTTCTTTCAATTAATATTCTAACTTTGTATTATATTGTTCTATTCTTCTATGTTGCGTTCTCATTTTGAGTTCGCTTATGTTCTTAACTTCATATCCTTTGTATCATCAGGTTAGTTAAAATCGAATAATTTTTATTTTCTATTATAATATTTTAGCATCATTTGGTGATTTCTGTTCAAATGATTTATCTTGTCATTATCCTTTAATTTGTTCTAATTCAAGTAGTAAATGTATCTGTCCATTATCATCATCTGCAACATTTTGGAATGTAGAACAAAATTCATGTCTATTTTGTCCATATGGATGGATTGAATGGCAAAATGAGACATGTCTTTTATTTATACAACCACCAGATGGTGGTATCGCACGTGAAAAAGCAAAAAATGCTTGTTTAACATATTCAGGACAATTATTACAAATTGATTATTATCAAGATTATATAGAATTTCAATATAAAATAAATACTTTATTACAAGGTGAACATGTTAATGAACTGAATGAATTCTTAAGTAACGGTATTTGGATTAATTTTACTGATTGTAAGTTAGAAAAATTAATTCTAAACTCAAATGATTATTAAATTGTAGATACAAATTGGATGAATTCATATGAATGGTGTGATATGGAATATGAAAATGATACATGGTTATGGAATGATTGTATTCGTATAACAAAACAATTTTCAAATAATAAAATGAATACATCACTTTGTTTAAGTCATGTACAATGTGATGAAAAATTATCATATATTTGTGAAAGTAAGACATTCATCGTGAATGCTATCTTAGAATTTGATTAAAACATTTCTCATTATCATTAGTATTTTACAGAATTAGCAATTATTCAAAATGATATTACTAATGATAACAGATTATTTGGTTTAATTGGTGGTCTTGTCGGAAATCTATTTGGTTGTAAGTCATAGTATAGAAATGTAGTTGAATAAATGTGTGAAATAATTTTATTTTAATTTAATTTCAGCAAAACCACAACCTCCACCACCACCACCACCACCACCAGAGCCAATTATTATCTGTAAAGATATAATAAATAATTATTTTAAAAAACGAGTTTTTATATTTTAAGATCATACAAATCCTCCAAAGACAGAAATAGAACAACCATTACCACGTATGTATCATTATATCATTTCATTCTGTTTATTTTAATATTATTATATAGAAACTTCAAAATCAAATAATACCATACTTTACATTAGCAGTAAGTTTGATTTTTCCGAAAACAAAATTATGAAAATTATCTTCATGGATTAGTTGCCGCTGTTGTTGTTCTCATTTTAATGATAACACTTTGTTGTTGTTTTTGTGGTGGTTTCCTTCTTTTGAAAAGTGATAATAGTTCAACAACAACACCACGACCATCACGCTTTCATCGACGACATGATAGAACTAGTGTCGATTCGACTGCTAGTGATGCTACATATTGATCAGACATTTTTTTTTCACATCTTATTATATAATAAAATTACTCAATATGTTTTCTAAAACTAATGTCAGACTGATGCAAAGTTCTTGCACTTAATAACTTGAACTTGCCATAGACACTAACTAATCACAAGTCAATGGTGTCTTTGATTATACTTTAAACATTGATCATCTGTTTACAAAATTACATTTTTCATTGTATATTCGATTACGTAAGTTAAAGAGAATAATGATCTTGTGGATCAACTGATGCCTTCTTATTTGATATTTTGTTTCAACTATTCAAATTACTAATTTTATCGAAATACATATAGGTTTTCGAGAACTGTACCTATTTTATTGTAAGAATTGATTTTAAGTAATACCATCTATTGCTCTTCATAAGCTCAACACTCAGTAACAATTCAATGTATCAATGTCAAACTTGAAAAGAAGTTTTCCTTACACCAAAACATTATTCATGTAAATTTAACAAGTAGTTTTGCATTTGACAAGAAGCAATGTAAAACTTAACATTCGACCCGAGAAAGTGGAGACTTTTGTTCACTACTGACAAACTTTTTAAATTTTTCTAAATTAAGTTATAAGAAAAAAAAAATATTCATTCGGAATTAGTAAAATGACCAATGATATTACTACTAAAAATGGTAATTGCTAAACACATTTATATTAAGAAAAACAAAGAACGAATAATTATTACCGCGCTTTGTTTCATGTATTTTACTGTAAATAGTTTCGTATTCTATGTTTCACTTTCTGATTGGGTTCATCTATGTTCAGTACACATTATTCAAATTATCTAAGTCTTCTTCAGGTAATATATATATATATAATAATTAATTGACTATATCGTCTTATCGAAATTATATAGTTTTATCATCATTTAATGAATCATGTTCTAATAATTTCTCTTGTGTTAATCCATTGATATGTTCAAATACAAATAAATGTGTATGTCAAAAATCATCATCATTTTGGAATAATGAACAAAATGATTGCCTTTCTTGTCTATCGGGTTGGATTCAATGGAAAACTGATCGTTGTCTTTCATTTGCTGTACCATCTGAAGGTGGTCTATCATATAATCGAGCAACTCATATTTGCCATAAATTTTCTGCACAAATTTTTCATCTATACAATATAGATGAATTTAAACAATTTGAATTCACAATAAATACATTACTTCATAGTACATTTTCAAGTGCTGTAACATTATTTTTTCGTCTTGGTGCATGGATAAATAGATTAAATAGTAATTTTTTTTCTAAACTAATGTATAGGATGTTTGAAATGTCCGAACAAAAGAAAATCGTGAATAGCTCCTCAACAATACAAGGGATTTAAACTTTTTTTTTTTTGTATAGTTTAGTCACATATGTATTAAAGTTTTCAAATAGAATTTTTGTGTCTACAGAAATGAGAATTAAAATTCGAGTCAATCATTATTATAAAACAAAAGCTCCAACTTTTCAAGGGATCATAAGTTGTCTATAAAGAAAAGTTAAATAGATTCAACATATAATCCTGGCTAATTTTTATAAGCATTCTTATTTCTTCATTAGTTACTCTACGGTCATTGATTTGTGACAATACTAGTTTAACAATCCTGACTTTTTTTTAGGTGAAGACACTTAATCTGAAAATTTTAGTGAAAAACTATTTAATTCTCTTGAATTACTGAGGAAATATTCACGTTTTCTTTTTCGTTCAGACTTTCGAAAAAATTCTGTATATATTATTTTCAAAATAGTCAAAGAATTAGAAGATGTTTTATGTGATGAAAATGAAAATAATTCTAATTTCGAATGTGTATTTATAAAAAGAAATAATTTAAAAAATGGTACATTATGTTTAAGTCGATTAGAATGTAATGAAAATATATTATTTATATGTGATAGTAAGTTTAAAAAAAAACATACGAGATTACTTTTCTTTTATTCAAATCTTTGTTTTGTTTCTTGTAAGTGGCAGCTGTTTCAGAAAATTATACAATTGAGAATGAAACTTCTATATTTTCAAATCGAGCAATAGGAGCAATTATTGGAGGTGTTGCACCACTTGCTTTTGATTTACTTGGTAATTTACTTAATGGAAATAGTATGTATTTGAATTGAACTTTATTTTGATGAAATTCTTTGATACAATATTATAGAACAACCACAAGAGCCACACCCAGTTCAACCACCATCTCCACAACAAATTATCAGTAAGATTAATTTAATAATGAGAAGTACAAGAAATATTTGTTTTATTTTAAGTCCAACAAGAACCTCCACCATCACCACAAATCGCTTTGCAAGGTAGGATTTTCAATTAATTTTATTATTGTTGTTGTTTATGAAAGAATTTAATATTTACAGAAAAACCATCATCGAATAATACATTACTTTATGTTTTATTGGGTGTTGGTGGTTTTGTTCTTCTTTTAGTTATGTGTGGTATTATCATCGCAATCATTTTCTTTACAGGATGTATGAAAAATTTATCATCCACTCAACATACAAACTATCGATCAAGTATTGAAAGTAGTTATAATTATTCATAAATAAATAATTAAAAAAAAGAAAAACTTACTATTTAATTAACTGATTGTTTTTTTTTGTGAAATATAATAAAAGATATACAGTTATTTCTACAACTTAAGATAGATAAAAAGTGTATTTGTATATGAATAAGAATAACAAAAATAAATATCTAAACTCTATTAAAACTATAAAGATTAATCAGAAAAATGTTCACTTTGGCTACTTATGTGTCTTCTACAATTTCATATAATAAGAAGAACTATCACGATAAGCAAAGGTTACAAAATTTTATGAAGAGGCAGAACACTTCTGCCTTTCGGCAACGTTACGGTTTGGAGTGCTGTCTAACGGCAGATTTAGTACTCCGATATGATTTTTTTTATTTTAGGAAAGAAGCAAATCAAAAGATCTGAAACTTGACAGTATCTTCGTAGTAATAAGCTAAGGTCACGAACTCTTTCATCTGAAGTTACATGATTGAACAATGGAAGAACTTCTCTCATGAATCATGGTGACTCATTCTAAAGAAATACTGCAAAATTAATCTTGAGAGCATTGTTCGAATTTTTCTTTAATTTAATTTCATAACAATAATCAAGATCTTACACCTTTAAACATATTCAAAGTCAAATCGATTCACTCGTATAATGTATGAAGCGCGTAAATTTCTCTTAAAATATTTTCAGTTCTATTATGATTTGGCATATCTGTTTCATTTCATTGGCTCA